AAATAAAAAAAAATAAAATTAAAAAATAAAAATTAAGTAAATAAATACCGAAACAGTAAAAATAAAATTTCTTTTCTTTCGAACTTCAGCACACTTTGCCCACGATCGACAGATCGGTCTCTAATCAATAGCAATAACACTGAAACTCACGTTGAAAACGAGCAGTTAAAGGTGTTAAATGACCGAGGTTTTAGCACATGTACGACAATTCTGGCGGCGTGAAAATTTTCAGCGCCACAACTCAATGAAATAGCAAACGATGCGAGAGCGGAGTTGGTGGGGAAATGTGTACAGTGTACGAACATGAAGCACGGCGTCTGTAAACATGCAGCGCTGAAATTTTTGCATACTCGTGTAATTTAGTGTCAACATTGAAGTCACAAGACGCCAAGTCAACCAATGCGATTCGCACTGTGGCACTTCTGTTTACCTCTTCGTATCAATGAAACGCGTGGAGAAGAAATGCCAAACAAATTCATTTGTGTTTATGGAAAATACCTAGCGCCATTTGATCTCGTATTATTTCACGGTTGTTTAATTTATCGATAATAGAATAGATAGATAGAATATTGCTAATAAAGTTTGAATCGAAAATGCACTAAATAATTTGTTTTAAAAATAGACGATTGATTAGCATTTAAATAAATGATAGGTGTTAATAAATAAAGCTAATACATATGTGAAGTAGCTGAGAAACATGTGAATTTAATGTTTTTAATTCCAGCATATGGGCGAATAAGTCCATTTTACACAGATTTATATCTACATATGTACATATGTGAACGTTTATTATAATAAAAAAGTATACTAATGATACTCAAAATAATATCATACTATTAAAGAGCCTTCCAAAGTGAGAGCTGAATCTACCAAACGACTTGCTTAAATAAAAGCGAGGTATAAACCATTACCTAGAAGCCGTTCGACCTTTGCCAAAGACAACACTTCCCTCTATGGGCTCTTGAAAAGCTTCAAGAAGATGCGACGTTTTCGAGCCAAATTTTGTTCAGCAATGAGGCCCATTTCTGGCTCAAAGGATAGGTAAACAATCAAAATTATAGCATTTGGGACGTAGAGTAACCTGAAGAGATTCAAGAGCTGCCATTCCATCTAGAAAAAACAACGATTTGCTGTGCTTTAAGGCCGATAGCATCATCGGTCCATATTGCTTCACATATGATGGCGGTGAGAACGTGGGCGTTAGTGGCGTCCGTTCGCGCCATGATAACCGAATATTTGATGCCTTAAATTGAAGCTCGTGATATCGACAACATTTGGTTTCAACAAGACGGCACCACGTCCCACACATCGCATCAATCAATGGATTTATTGAGAGAACACTTCAGTGAACAGATAATTTCACGTTTTGGGCTGGTCGATTGGCCACCAAGACCGAGTGATATCATAATACCGTTAGACTTTTTCCTGTGGGATTATGAAAAGTCTAAGGTCTATGCGGACAATCCCGCTTCGATTCAAGAATTGGAGGAAAACATCACGTGTGTCGTTCGCCAGTTACCAGTCAAAAGGCTCGAACGAGTCATCAAAAATTGGACTCAACAGATAGATCATCTGAGACGTAGCGCAGCCAACAATTGAAGGAGATAATCAACAAAAAATAAATGCCAAATAATGTTCTTTCGACTGATAATAAATTTTCCCCATTAAATTTGAAGTTCTGTATTCTTTCTTTTAAAAAATTAGTATATGTATGTAAAATAGTCGTGCCGATCGATCCAACTCTTTCGGAGAAATTTTCCTCACTGACTCTGAAAACAGCATTTGGAGCAAAACGCGTTTAAAGATTTGGGAACCGATTGTTCTAGGTCAAAAAGTTCTTACAAATACGCTTATATCTCCGGTACTATTTGTCGGATCTACTTCAAGTTTTTCGGCGAATATTATCCGATATATTTCATTTCGATTTATACAAATGCAGCAAATATTTTTTGAAATTCAAAAATGGATATAACCTCTAAAAGTGAATTTTCAAGAGACAAATTTGTAATAGTGAAGCCGAAAGTTGTTCGAAGGGAGGTTAATGTCTAATTTAAAATTCAAAAAGAAAAAAGTAATGCAGAAAAATTATTTGTATATACAAGTATAATAAAGACAGACAATTCCAGATATTTTAGCCAAAAAAAAAAAAAAAACAAGGCGTTATAAGCCAAGGTTTTAGGGATACAAAATATTAGAAATTACCAAAGTATGTTCTTAAGACAGTTGGGTGTACATATCTGGCACTTGAAAAACGGTTTTATAAAAATTTAGTGTGCTTACAACAAGAATAATAAAATTGTATGTATGAAGCCGAAATTTAAAATCTGATTTCCTAATCGAAAATGAGCTACACAAAACTATCCTAAAATAGGTATTTTTTTTTTTTTTTTAATTTTAAAATAATATTAGATACCCGAGAATAAGATACGATACATATAGTATGTACATATACGAAATTATTAAATAACACTTCAGCTAATCAACAGATTCCATTTGAAATTAGAATCAACGATGCAACCCAATCAACCATAACAACCAGAAACTTGAGTTGAGAATAGAAATAAATCATCTAGACTTGGTGATATGAGAGTTGTGGCATACGTAACTAATAGTATACTATACTTTAGATATATGTATGTATACATATACACTCAGGCATGTTGGACGTCGCACTAACCGCTAGGCCAGTAGCTAACCCGTTGACGACTGCAATTGGTTTTTTACGACGCTGTTTATTTGACAAGGCAAATTATTATTGAATCAATTAAACATATTGCCTGACTGGCGTAATGACAAATAGACAATATCGTATCAGTGGCGGATACTCGTTTTATCAATTATGGCATGTTTGATGACGAGAGAGCGCAATATACGGAGTACATATTTATTTGTATATATAAATACCTATAAAATAAGTTTGATTAGTTTTTTATGCAAGTACAGTTACTTACATATATGTATGTATGTAGGGATGTATTTATATAACAGGTCAATTGAAAAGACACCGGCCTGACGCACAGATAGCGCTACTAGAATTAAAACCATATGATTTTTAGTTAAGCCTAACCTTCAATATAATAAAGGTGTCTAAGTTTGACAGCTGCTGGATCATAAGTTTATGAATTATAACATTTTAAGTGCAGCAAATATTGTTATTGAGAAAGAAAGTTGATAAAAAAAAAGGAAATTCATGTGTTGATATAGCAATGCCTTTTGGAGGGGAAAAAATGCAGTTGAAGCAAAAACTTGGCTTAATGAAAGAAAATCAACTTTCAAGGATTGGATAAGTTTAGACGTGTTAAAATGTGCAGCGAGGACGGAGAACTCAGTCGTCTCCCTAAACAAGTTGTTCCCGACGAAAATACCAAAAAAAAAGTCCACCAAATTTTGTATGACCGTAAAATGAAGTTGTTCGAGATAGCAGGCACTCTAAAGATATCAACTGAATGTGTACATCACATCCTTCACGAATATTTGGATATAAGAAAGCTCTGTGCAATGTGGGTGTCGCGGGAGCTCACTTCTGATCAAAAACAACGAGTAGTTGATGATTCGGAGCAGTTTTGCTCGAAAATGTTCAATCGAAATGTAATCCGAGTGACTGCGCACGATGAACTCGCTCCAACAGTCTTCTGGCAAGGTTATGGCGTCTTTATTTTGGGATGCGCATGAAATTGACTACCTTTAAAAAAGAAGAACTATCAACAGCGACTATTACATAACGTTATAGGATAGTTTGAAGGACGAAGTCGCCAAAAAACGTCCGCACTTCAAAAAAAAAAAATACTGTGGCGTTTTATCAAGACAATGCGCCGTGTAACAAATCAGTGAAAACGATGGCAAAAATTCATGAATTTGGTTTCAAACTACTTCCGTGTTCACAGTATTCTCTAGATCGGCCCCTAGCGACTAATTTCAGCGCTCAGATCTCTAAAGCATGCGCGCTTGGAAGAAATTTTTATGGAATGAAGAGGTGATCACCGAAACTGAGACTTATTTTGAAGCAAAGAACAAATCGCACTATAAAATGGTACCGAAAAGTTAGAGGCTTACTATAGCTATACCCAGTGTATCACACTAGAAAAGAAATACGTTGAATAAAAAAAATTTTAACAAAAATAAATGTTGTTACTATGGCAGG